TCCTCTTCATCCTGGAGAGAAGTGATCAGTGGGGTGCCACAGGGTCCTATCTTTGGCCCAGTGCTCTTCAACATCTTTATCAACAATTTGGATGAAGGAATAGGGGGCATGCTTCTCAAATTTGCAGATGACACCAAATTAGGAGGAATAGCTAATACCCCAGAAGACAGGATGAAAATTCAAAATGACCTTAATAGATTAGAAAGCTGTGTCAAAGCTAACAAAATGAATTTTAACATGGAGAAATGTAAGGAACTGCACTTAGGGCGGAAAAATTAAATGCATAGATATAAGACGGGGGACACCTGGCTGAATGAGACTACGTGTGAAAGGGATCTAGGAGTCCTAGTAGACCACAAGTTGAACATGAGTAAACAGTGTGATGCAGCAGCTAAAAAGGCCAATGCAATTTTAGGCTGCAGTAATAGAAGCATAGTATCTAGATCAAGGGAAGTAATAGTGCCACTGTATTCTGCTTTGGTCAGGCTGCACCTGGAATCCTGTGTCCAGTTCTGGGCATCACAATTCAAAAAGGATGTTGAAAAACTGGAACATGTCCAGAGGAGGGTGACTAAAATGGTGAAGGGCCTGGAAGCCATACCGTAGGAGGAACGACTTAGGGAACTGGGAATGTTTAGCCTGGAGAAGAGATGGTTAAGAGGGGATATGATAGCCCTCTTTAAATATCTGGTGTCACATTGAGGATGGAGCAAGCTTGTTTTCTGCTGCTCCAGAGAATAAGACACAGAGCAATGGATGCAAGCTACAGGAAAAGAGATTCCACCTCAACATTAGGAGGCACTTCCTGACAGTAAGGGCTGTTCAACAGTGGAACACTCTCCCTTGGAGACTGGTGGAGTCTCATTCTTTGGAGGTTTTTGAACAGGCTAGATGGCCATCTGTTGGGTATGCTTTGATTGAGAGTTCCTGCATGGCAGAATGGGGCTGGACTGGATCACCCTTGTGGTCTCTTCCAACTCTATGATTCTATTCTTCTATGAGTTGTTTCATCCTTTCATTCTGCATTTTCATTTTGTCCTTGTTTTATAGAGGATTGTGAGACTGGGGCTGGGATCCAGTTAGGGACATACACATGTGTAAATTTCCCTTATGCATGTACATAAGGAGTATTGTGGGAGTTAGTATTCTCTTCCTTCCTCCATAGTGCACAAAGCCCCCTCAATATACTGTAAAGCATCTGAAGTTTCCCCAACCCCACTGGCCATTCCTTGAGAAGTGAGCCAAATTTCAGAAGCATCTTTCCATAGCCAGATGCAAAATGTTGACATCAATGCCAAGATCTGTCAGAGTCTTCTAGGGGTTTCAGTGCTACAGTAATCCTTTCATGTCTGGCTATGGGAATGTAGCGAGATGCTTCTGTGATCCTGCCTGCTCCCTGTGAAGCAGAGAAAGGCTATGCTGGAAGGGAGATTTCAGAGGCTGTTCAGTAAATCAGAAGAGTGATATATGGCTCAGCCTTGCCTAGATCTGCATACGAAACTGTTACATCACACTGAGCTATACAGGATTGCAGCCTGTGTTTCCTTCCCTCACTGGCATTTGTACAACTTCCAGCAACTGGTTGGCATCTTGTCAGTGGTTTGGACACACCAAAGCTCCCGCCAGTGCATATCTTCTGTGTTCGGTTCACAGTTGCTTCAGCTGTGTTCTGCATACGTAACTGCACACATGCAGCTGTGCATTCTTGAAAGATGCAAAACTATTAAGCAGTGCCTCTAATGTTTCCATTGATCCACTAGGGTTGCAATAACAGTCCTTGTGCATCCCCCATTGCACCATGGGACAACCAACAGGCACATGAGCAGGCAGTTGGCTGCACAATGCCAGCGTTCAGCTGACCACAACCACAACTTGTCTATTTTAATGCAAATGTACACAAAACTAGTAAAGAATAGGACCTTGGATATTTTTTTCTTCTTGTCCAATTTAATTAATATCCACAACCCTCCCCACCCATAAAGTAACATTTGTTTCTATGTATTTCCTCACTAATATGCACAATTTAGTGCCTCACATTATAAAATATGTGCATTGTCTTTCAGAAACATCTGGTAAGTCACAGAGATGTGTGAACACTTAAGACAAGGTTTGTTTTCACATTTTCTCCTAGTTTCAGGAGGTGTGAACACTTTCCTTTCCTTGGGAATACTACGTTCAGTGAAATTTCTTCCACAACTTTAGACAATATCTGAAACATATTAATTTGCACTGGATCACTACAGCTTGCAGAGCTGTGCATGAATGTATGTAGGCAAAGGTCCCCTGTTCCCTAAACATTCAATAGGCTCATGGAGTTGGAACATCCAGTCCAACCCTCTGCCATGCAGGAATACACAATTCAAACACCCCTGACAAATGGCCAACCTGGCTGTTTAAAAAGCTCCAAAGAAGAAGACTGTATCATACTCTAAGAGAGTGTGTTCCACTGTCAAATAGCTTACTGTTAGTAAGTTTTTCCTAATGTTGAGGTGGAATCTCTTTTCCTGGAGATTGAATCCATTGTTCCATGTTTAGTCTCTGGAGCAGTAGAAAACAAGCTTGCTCCATTCTGAATGTCCTTTCAAATATTTTAACATTGGCTATCATGTCACGTCTTAACCTTCTTTTTTTCAGGCTAAAGACTCAGCTCCCTAAGCTTCTCCTCATAGGCCATGGTTTCCAGGTCTGACCAAAACAGAATACAGTGAGGTTATAAATTCTTTCTAGACACTAGACTCCTATTGATGCATCCTAGGATCATATCGGGTTGATCTGTTTAATTGGTATTATTTATTAATTTATTTATATCCCACCTTCTTCCTGGTACAGGAATTCAAGGCGGCTAATAAAAGTTAAAACAGTCCAAGTTAAAACAAGTACTGTACAGCCACAAAGTACTTTACTATACAGCTACAAAGACATTTTTAGCTAAACCACTGCCCTTTAGCTTAACCTCCCTTCTCACTATAATTCAGTTACATGGGGTGTGATCATTCAGAAATACAGGTTTCAGAGTCACTTAAATGTCATTCTCCTGTTCAGTAATATTATTCTTATGTGGTAATAAAATATGGCCTTCTCATAACCAAGTTAAGATTCTAATTTTCATGAATGTAAAAGCAGCGTGGGGAAATTAGTATTTGAAATGTTTTATTCCCTAAAACAAAAGGAAATTTCTCCAGCTCTAATTTTGTTGGTGCATTAAGATATTTATCTCTGACCCAATATCAAATGATATCAGGCAGTGTATAGTAAGATCAGTTTAACAAATTCAAACAATATAAAACATTAAGAAATCCTTTAGACAGGTTTAAAAACAAATAAACTTGTAAAATAATACAAGTTCAAACAATTTAAACCCATGAAGCATGAAGCAGATTTGAATAAAGGGTGGTCAGGTGTGGTGTAGTGGTTTGAATGTTGGGCTACAACTCCAGGGACCAGGTTTCGAATCCCAGCTTGGCCATGGAAACCCACTGGTTGACGTTGGGCAAGTCACACACTCTCAACCTTAGATAACACAGGGATAGGTTTGCCTTAAGGTTGCCCTAAGCTGGAAATGACTTGAAAGCACTCAACAACAACAACAACCCCTAATACTTTAATAAAAAAGCCCTATTTTGACTTGGCAGTAGAATGATACCAGCATTGGCCCAACTGGGACTCAAGGGGATGGTATTCCACAACTGGGTGCTAAGCAGAGAAGGAACTTTTCTCCATCCTCTCACAGTTGAGTATTGTGTATCTCACTGGTGCAGCACCTGCCAACAATCTTCAGACTTGGGCCAGGTATGTATATAGGGAGAGGTATGATCACAGAGTAGTCTCTGACAATGCTGGATCTTCGGCTTAGTAACCAAGATGAGCACCACCCCCTATGGTTGGACTTGACTTGACAACCTTGTCAACGGGGAACTCCTTTACTTCTAGTTTAACTACCTCTTTTAGATACCCACCTCTCTTCTCAGGATGCAATGGACCATGACAATGACAAAGCCTTCTAAGGAGTCAAAGACTGCAAAGAGGATCTGGAAGAGGGCAGACCGGCGGTCAGTGATAGCCAACACTGCTGACATCCAAGTCAGAGCAAGGAGAGGAAGGACCACGCAGGAGCTCCAAAGGGATGCCCTGTGAGAAGAAAGAGAAGAGAACAGCATTGGGGTTCTTCAGAAGTCCAGCTGGTCACTCAAGTGACTGAATCCCACAAGCTTCCTGAACCCAAAGTGTTGCAGAGGGATGAACTTTTGGTACAGGCTGAATTATTTGAAATGATTTACAAGTGGCCGAACAAATAAAAATACAGACGGACACAGAGAAACTAAAACAGCTTGGACTGTTATCTCATGTAGGCCTCAACTACCCTCTCTGTACCTCTGTGGGCCAGGCCAAAAGGGGGGTGGGATACTCATTTGACAATTTTGTGTGTGGAAAAAAAATAAACTTTGCAGAGCACATGTTGCAAGAGCATTTAAAAAAAAACAAATCCTGTGTAGATCTCATTTTGAGCTTCATGGAAACTGTTCGCTCTTCCTTTCTGGGTCAAAGCAGGCTCTTGGGATTGGAAAGATGCTCTTCCTTCTACCTGATTTAAAGAAATTCTGAATTAAAAGCCAGACAATGTGCTTTTTATATCCTTGAGAGCAACACCATACTGTTTAGGCGCTCTGTAGCACATGTATGGCACCATTGTATTACTATGCCAATGGAGAGTCCAAATGAAGAACAAGCCAGAGCAAATCCATTACAACAGGGGTAGGCAACTTTTCCCATTTAAGGGCCAAGGGACTTCAGCTCCCAGAAGCCTCAGCCATGTTGGCCTATAATAGTCCCATGTTGGCCAATAGCTCCTGGGATTCTGGGAGCTGAAGTCCCTTGGCCCTTAAAAGGGAAAGGTTGCCTACCCCTGCATTACAAGATTCCACAACAGCAATGCTTGAGACCTCTGACAAACAGAATAAAGTAATGTACTGGGTCAGAACCTTTGGTCCTCCAAAAGGTTGGAGCTTCAGCTCCCAGAATTCCTGTGCACTGCCTACACTAGTTAGACCTTCAGGGAGTTGACGTCCAAACCAATTGGAGGACCAAAGGTTGAGAGATCCTGATCTAATGCCAGTCTCCCCACCTGCCTGAGTGTCCCAAGTTGTGGTTCATTCTGAAGAGGGCATGTGTATTGTTGAATCAGGGTGACCAGATGTCCTAACTCCAAAGGAGAACTAAGGCATCCTAAAATGTAGGAAATTCAAGAAAAAAATGTAGGACATGACCAAATAAAAGCTCAAAACAATCATATAAATATAAATTCCTGCTTCTTAGTCATGCTCCAAATGGAGGACATTTGGGAATTCCTCCTGGACAAATGGCTGACATATGGACATATCCTGGAAAAGGAGGATGACTGGTCACCCTGTGCTGAATGAAGATTTAGCTGCTAGGCCACTCAGAATTTGGGTTTACCAAAAGAGTAATGGTGGGCTACATAAATATGATTATGTGTGGTGGGAGGGTAGTGGACATATAGATGTACTTTGTGTAGATGGTTTCTACTGTAATCTTCATGCACTAGGGAGATTATCTATCTATCTATCTATCTATCTATCTATCTATCTATCTATCTATCTATCTATCCATCCATGTATTTGCATTGTGCAACTTATGTTTTCCAATCCCAGGAAGAACTGCAAAAGATTGCAGAGTACATCAATTTCCTATGGCCAGAGAAGAGTTTCTGTGTGTGGAATCTCAGTTGTTTCACCCAGACAGCCAGGAAAACCCCCAAGGTGGGACTGAAGTAAAATAACCATAGATACAGTAAAACAAAACACACACTTCTTGCACTGTGAGATATTTCCTGAATTCACTAAATTCCAGTGTATTACAAATGCAATGAAATTTAATTTCCCCATGTGGTTTTAATCCATTGTCTGTACCTCATTTCAAATAGATAGATAGATTGATAGATAAATAGATAGGCAGACAGATATTTGATTGATTGATTGATTGATTGATTGGCTGAATTGATATCCTGCCTTTCTCACAGGGTTGTAAGGCAGAAAACTGTTTCTGGCTGTTCAGGTGAAAAATGAAACAATACGCCACAATTCTAGTGAAAGTTCTCTGTGAATTTAATCAGTGATTAAAATGGTGCATCCTAGTGCTTGAGGGTTAAGAAGCAACTTTAATTTAACTGAATATCTGTTTTTCAAATGGTCTGCTTGCTTGAACAGTGTAACTTTGGATAGGCAGAATGCACCAGGAATTAGCTATATTCAATTGATGGAAATTAACAACTAGTTCTAATTTGACAACTCTTAACACAGTTGCCATGTATACCCTTTGAATGAATCAGTGCCAATTCATAATTGGTCTTGGCACATTCTTCTAGAAATAGTTTTCTACCCTGGAAAGGCTGAAAATAACTCACAGTATTTGCCTGGACTGGCATAGAAAATAACATTTAGCTGCAGGGAATGGTCAGGATCTGGTGTTTTATTTCTGTATTCTGTATTTTTGGGACTTATTTTGAATTTCTGTATTCATATTTCTGTATTCTTCACAAACATTTTATGGAGAATAAAATGTTATTTTATGGCAGGCAAAGACCATCTAGAGAGCATCGTTGACATTCCTTTCTCATAACATTCACATTAACAACCAGTTCAAAGGGTAAGCTCTATTTTGAAGAGAAGAGTGACTTCATACATCAAATATGTATAAAATCTTCTTCAGACTGACTGAGCAGGATACGAAAAAGTATAACAGTTTTTCAGCCAGATTATAAATCCAATAAAAAAATTGTACAAAACCAAAATGCAATCCCACCATTCTCCACCACTTCTCAGTTGTGGCATGGTTCCCATTCCCACTTCCTCAATTCATCCAATTACTTTGGTTAACAGAAAAAGTCACCCTTTACAACATGACATTAATAAAATTGACTTTTAGGACAAATACAGGGTGGGGAGATCAGAACCCAGCTCAACCAAAAAGAGTCAACAGAGAAGACACATGGGGGTGGGGGTGAAAGGAAAGAGACTTATGACACAGAAGCAGAGGTAAAGTCCATGCAAGGAGCAAGCGAGTCAATGGGTCAGTTTGGCTATTCTCATTAGGTTTTATTACTCATTAGGTTTATGCAACAGGGGCAGCTAAGTGTCATTCACATCAGCTCAGCCTGAAGCAGTCAATTGCACAAGTGAAGTTGAGGATCTTGGGGAGGCTTTTCCAACAGATGACCCACCTCTTTAGTGCCCTGAAGCACTCTCCATTGATGCTCAGTTCTAGGAATGTATAATAATGAAGAGTCTACCTAACACCTTCATTGGTTAGGACTTCCTCAGAAACTTTAGTTGGATTGGTGGGTGGTGACAGTGGTCTCCACCATCAGCAACAAAAAGCGGTGCCTGAAATGTGGTGGGTCAGCTAAGATCAACAGAAACAAAGATCTCCTTTGGAATGGCTTGTTTTGACTATCTTGTGATATTACAGGTAGGATTATGATCAGAGTAATCCTTTAAAAGTTAAACAACAGCTTTTCCTCTACTACCTTTGGAAAATAAAATGAGGGGGCACACAGTAAACCTATGTCTTGGGGGTGTTGAATCCACTCTCAGTTTTATGGCTGCTCCCCCCACAGCTGAGTTGTCTGGGAGTGTTCAGAGAAGTATGTTTGTTAGGATAGTGTGAAACTCTGGGAGATCTCCTGTGCAACTTGGAATAGCTCTGGGAGGAGCAGATTCTGAAAGCAATGGATCCATCAGATGCCTCTGAAACTGGTCAAAGAGAATGCTACCAGTATCTCCCATTTTTAGTGCTGCTAACTCACAAATGTCAGACTAGATGGAAGTCCATGAAATGGAAACAAGAGGAAAAAGGGAAAGAAACTCATAGTCAGTGAGCTGGCGTATTATGGAGGAAGCTTAAAGAGAGGGCAGGAGAGGGTCCGATTACACAGGGATCATCAGGGGAGAGACATGAAGAGCTTTTTGGGAACTTTGAAGTTGATAAAGGGGGCTGGTGTAAAGGAGGGAGAGGAAGCAAATGGAATAGGAAAAGACAGTGCATTTAGCAAAAGCCTTTGGAAGAGTGCCATGGGGATGTGGCAGGAAAAAGAGCAACAAGGGGGAAGTTAGAATGATCTAGGGCACAATGAAGCAGAAAGGTGTTCCAGCTGATGGCACCAAGAAGAAAGGGGAGATTTCTCATGTGCTGAAAGAGAAGCAGCAGGATTGAGGGAGAAGTGTGAAAGGAGAAGGAACTTGAGGAAACAAAGATGATCCCCACGGCTGGATGTCTTTGAAATGCAGAAAGATGACAGTATTAACAACACTGGTATAGAGAGGTATGCCAGGGTTGTGGCAGAAGAATGAGGAGCTTAGTTAGGTGCTCTACATGAAATTGAATATGATCAAAGGACTTGTTGGAAGGCATTTTAATGAAGGTATGGAAGTGCTCAGAAATAGCATTGAA